GGACTTCGCATATGCCAACTCACCATCGAAGGCGGTTATCACGCATGAAATACGATTACCTGTCGTGAACACTCAACCACGGCAACATCGGCGTCACTAACCTAAGGCATCACGTTAGGCGCTCAGTGGCTACAAGCTGATCGCCACAGTGCACCACCTGAATCACGGAATCACCACTTTCGTTCAGCAAAGCCTGTCGGATGTCGCTGAGCTCATAAAAAAACACTAATGGCATATTTAGAGGGTCGGAAAATCACCGTCACGAACATACACAAGCCACCAACACAGAACTGGCCAACATTGCCAACAAGTAGCCAACGATGCCGCCAAGAGATCAACCCGCAGTTCATGCCGGGGACTTCAATGACCACCTGAGGTCATCAGGGCATTATGTGCACACCCAGCCTGCGACTGCGGCTACGCAGATCCAACAGTCGACACCATCGACAATCAGTGAGGATTATGAAAATTTGAGGAAGTGGCGCACTACATGCGCTGGCAACAGGTTCACATCGTTTTACTATTCAAATTAGATCTCAACTTGTAGCTGTTGCTGCCATGGGCAAGAACTCCAGCGTATACTGTGCGAAGACGATGCGATCGCCGGCGAGTAGAAAACCTTAGTTACTGTCTGTCGATGGTGTCCCGGTAACACCAGTTCAACTGATTGAAAAATGGTTCAAGGATTTGGCAGAAAGCATTACTGAAACGGTACCTCCTTGGCGAACTCCTCGATGAATATCGATACAGTATGATTGGCTGAACAGCTTTGCGATGTAAATTAATCAACTTTAACTGCTTGAATGACAGTAGTTTGCTACCAGCACAAAATAGCTTCATCACAGAGAAACCATATGATGTGCCGAACGTGATGCATAACGACATAAAGACTTATCCATCTAAACAAATGCGCATTAAAACTTATTCGGTGTACAATCCAGTTCTGCAATGTATTATTTTTACCGCCTGCATACCTAAGCCTAAGCACCAGCATGTACCTAAACGCTCAGAGGACAGTGCATAGGCGTAGGTCTGGGAGCAGACTTGGCAATAATATCGCTAGCGACGTTTTAGACTCATGGACTGGGAGGCGAATCAATTTCAGTTCACATCCGTATGTGCGAGTTACCACTCTGGGAGGTCATAGTAAAGAAGTGTCGAGGTAATGAAAACATTATCAGCTATACGGTTAGAAGTTATCATTGTGACAATATCGTTTTACTTACCACCATAACTGAGGAACGATTCATAATTTCGAGTGAATGCAGAAAATGAAGATTTTTCGAAACGAAGTGCAAAGCTGCTGAAAGTATCTTCACCTCGACGTTCCTTCGAACTGCAGCTCGCAAAGCATCGTCGATCTTAGACCAGTAGCTTCAAACCTTCGGAATAGACATAAAAGTGAATTTGCGAAAGACAGCTTACTATGGCGGGTTACTGTACATAACCATGGGAATGTAGTCCATGACGTGAATGTAAATGAACTTCTCGGCTCGATTGATAACCGAGATGATCGCGTCGAGATCCCAGATTCCGCCTGGTGTAATAAGCTGTTTCGGTGACGTCTGAAATTAGCGATCTAGCAAACATAATGCAATGTACTTTCGCAACATCAAAGCCTCAATGGA